ATCTACTACTGGCCGGGCACAATGTTCCCACGTTTGCGTGAATAATACCAGCAGCAGGAATAGCGGCGGTAATAGTAGCTTTAAGAAGCGGCAATTGCGCGCGAAGTTCTGTAGGGCTTTGCCGCGCATTATCTACGTCCAGGACGCACAACCTATCGCGTTTGATAGGTTGGTTCCTCCGTTTTATCCACGGATACACGCTGAGGATCTTCTATACATACTGTGCACGCCGGGAATCAGAGGCAAAATCGGAGTGAAAGAAATCGAGACCTCGTGAGACTTTTCTTCAAGTCGACTAGTGAGCCTCACTAGGGACAGGCTCTTCATGCACAGTGTCGCAGCGATATTCACCCATTTGCTATCGATTCGCTATCCTATCATAGGTTCTGCGCAGCTTCGTTAAACAGAAGCATGCATCCAGGCTTTCCTTCCGCATATAGCCGCTTCTTCTTGGGTAAGTCTGCCTAACCAAGCAAACTTGGCTTAGAAGACTATAAATTGCGTTTTCAATTGTAGAGGTAGGCCTGAAAGTAGAACGTTCTGACGTTGAAGCTCGCTTAAGAACTTTCTTCCAATCCTAACCTTAACGGCTCTTTACTGAACGGTGGCTATCGTTAAGCTAAAGGCCACAAAGCGGGTCCTTGTCTGTGCATGGTCTTTGTCTTCACCGAGTGCAGGTGCACCGCCATAGGATCTTACCGTCTCACGCTATAACGCCTTAGTGTCGCGGTGAAACTAAATAAGGGAGAGTTATCTTCTATCATGTCTACCGAAACGCGACCTTAATGTTCGCACCGCTAGCTGATTCAGCTAACTTATAAATAATCGGCTTATAGATTCAAAGTAGGCTAATAAGTTGCATAATGCAGTTATGAATCTTTATCATTAAGTTATTAAAAGAGTTATGCAAATACTAGGGACCAATGGATAGAAACTAACTCACATTAGAATAGCGTTGGCTAGAGCAACAGTACAGCATAATATACCTTTTTTTACAGTAGAAAAACAAGTGTTATACATATATAACACTTGTTTATATATATATATATATATATATATATATATATATATATATATATATATATATTACTTCAGTGCAGTTATTTTCTTGAAAAAGATGGGTTTTTATTTTCATTTAGAGCACCTTCAGCCCTTTCGATTTGGTATTTCTATGGCTAGGGACCCAATAGAGTACAGACATGATCTAATGTAGCAAAAACGTAGTTTATGCTATGTCTGTGTATGGAAATAGGACGTTGTTATGAAGCTCAAATGCTAGTTGCTGTCTCTGTAGAACGTCAGCGTGATTGATAGCTATATACTGGACCGCTGATTTTTGTTAATTATGAAGTTTCTAGCCGTCACGAGCCTGAAAAACACCAGTAAGCCTAGGATTTTCAGGGATTAGTTCCCTTGATCACCCAACATGATGAGCAATGTAGCAGAAACGCAAAGGTCAGGTCAGACCACATGACTTCGCGTTGTCACTAATAACATCACAAAAAAACAATGAACGACTGTTTGTACCAATTGGTAGTCCCTGATACGTACAAATCGCATCCGCATGCTAAATAAATAAGAGACGGGAGATCATGCTGGTCGAATTGTCTATTTTTGTCATGTAACATGAAATATACGATAATGAGCAACGATAAGTAACGACAAGGAACAGTACCGAAAATTCACACAACGTAACAACGCTGAATAAATCTTATTCCCAGAAGAAAATATTTTTTGGTCCAATCTCTAAGGTCAGTAAATCCAGTATCATAACTGGTGAACATGTGGATGTACATTTTTTACCCTATAAACTGCTGCCATATTAACATAGCGACGATATAAGACGTTATCACAATATGTCTAGCTTGGCATTAAATGTGCATTTATAAAATCAGCAGCCCAACGATCTGGTACCCACTAATGTATGCCTCGCTCTTATTTCCACATTAAGGCGTGCGCATAATGTATTTGTTTCGTAAAAGATTAGCAACTCTCAAATCATTTGGTCTTAATTATCCATGCTTGATCGCTTCTACGAGGCCTAACAAGATTTTATCATTTCATGCTAGTTTGACTCTTTTTGCCACGCAATATGGTCCTATTTCTGCTGACATCGTTTCTGGTGATGTTTTCATCTGTAGTCGTTGTCAATATCATGAACTTTGCGTACCGCTTTACTCTTTTTCAGGTCGCAATCGATGATTCTTACCCAGCAAGATCTAGGCTCAAGGCTCAGATAACATGCTTGTACATGTTCTCCGATTAGCTACTGGCCCAGGGCGGAAGGTAGGTTGTGATTTGGTTTGACTTATATCGGCTTGAGCTCGAGTATACTATGCAGATATCGAGTTTTCTGTAGAAACAACAGGCGGCTAGAGGTAACAATACCATTTATCGTATATGAACTTCCTCGGCCGACATTAAAATACACGCTTACATTCACTGACCCGACATTGCCACACAGCTTATATCCATTCGCTTTATGCTGTCCTGCTTCGCTACCGTTACAGCCATCGTATGTAGTAATAATAGTATCTGACGAAGCATTTGGTATCTACTCGCTATGAAACAAACCAGACCTGGTAATGCTTGCGGCTTTTCGAATTTTCATGGGATAAGGGTAGGAGTTATGAGGCAAGGCACGTTCTGCTAAGTTGTCGGAGATTGAGGCCTCAGGACTTTAAACTTCCAAAGCGGCGTTGACGTCACTTGACAAACAATGGCCTAGCCGACTTTAGGACTCGTCTTTGGCCCGTCGAAGCGTAGACTTGGAAAGCGAAATCAGAACGAAACGTTTGAATACACTCGCACGCTCGGCCGCGCTGATGGCTTAGTTTACTCGGCAGTCTGTCTCAAGGGTTTATCGCACGCCAATGCGTCATTAGCGGACGGCCTGACGATTCTTACCGCTGGACCCATGACCTTCCATTTCCTAATGTATGCAGGTACGGTCCGATCCGCCGTGTTGGACGGCAGGAAAAGTTCGCGTCTTAGCATGATTTTCTCTTGTTGTTTAGGCTTACGTCCGTGGACACTTTTGATCGTCGTTCGACAACTTCACTTGTTTAGTGTTGATGCATTCTGTCGCTATTTCAGTTACAGCCGTACTAGAAAATCAAAATTTATTCAGCCTAGTTTTATGCGACCTTATTAGAACGTCAAAGTTCCTAGTGATCAAATGTACTCCCGTACCTGCAACATATACATATATATAACCATATACCTATATATATATGTATATGGTTCAACTTTTTCAGAATTTCTACTTACAGCTTCCACCAGTATAGTAGGCAAACACCTGGTTCACCTGAATCCAATCAAGTTCCTGTTAAATGTGTTTCCCAAACATACAGACATAAATGAACTTCCGTAACTTTGTAAAGGCACATATAAACAAGGGGGTGTGCACTTGCCTTTCCGGACACGTGAAACCCATCAACGTCGCTTGATAGTCGTTTAGTATCGTGGAGTAGTGCACCCATCTCGCTGCACCTTCGACGTACTATCAACGGCTGTTGTCGGAATTAACGCCGATTGATATAACAAATTTGTGTTAAAATGATTCCGGGCCTTTCTAACATTCGTTTAGACTTTAATAGAGATAAAGAAAGGAAACGAAAGAGACACACACATGTCCATTATAAAAAATGTATGTTTTAACGATGTATACTAGTATTACATATATAATTATTATGTAATCACTAAGAATAATGGTTTTGTAATGATTAATAGATATTAGCAACGATAAGAAAAATAAGCGTTTGACAAAAGTGTAAACATTTTTGTTAGAATAGTTGTCTGCTGATACGGAGAGTGTCCATCGGATGTACAACGTATACCAGTGCAGATGCCTACCGATACGATCATTATAAGCTAGCAATAGAAACTATTAATGGCCTTTCGAGTAGTGGAAATTTGATCGTTGTCAACAACATGCACATATAGTATAACGTCGATTTCTATTGTCACACGTAATATAGAGTATTCCGTATCAATTAGAACAAAATTAATGTTGCTTGTACGTTTCAACCAACTGGAAATGGGCGACGTTTTGCATTCGCCGACAGGGACATATGCCCCACATGTATCATTGTTCAATAGATGGGCTTCAATCACTTCGACAACTTCAAATTGTAGTTTAGACCACTTACAAATGATTTGCAAAAATTAAACCTCGCCTGTCGTTGGGACTGATCTAACCCACTCTATAGATATTCCGTCCTCTAAGGCAAGCGGTAATTTCTGCATGAAAATTCTAAGATCATCAAAATTGGCTTCTCGCGCTTATTTAATTAATTTCTTCGCTTGTAGCCCCCCCAATACAAACCTCAAAAACCCTGAGCCCAGCAAAAACCTTGAGGTTTGACAATCTTACCAGTGAATAAACATGTTTATTTTCAACTTGCTCATGCCATAGATTAATTTGGCAACCCTGTTACCGTACGGCGTCTTTTTTGCCTAACTGTAAAGCAACTAGGTGTTGGCTAATAAAAGTATTAGGCAGCCCTATCATTGCCTCTACAACTTTGCCCATAACTAGCTTCAGAGTTTCGTATACTGACATGCTTAAACGATAAACAAGAGTTCCCACGAAGGTTCACACTGGTTCCGGTGTGTAGCTGTTACGAGAAGCGGCCGGTCATTGTGCCTTCGTCTCGAATTGACTAAGCCTGGCTTGTTGTTTATGAGTGGGCCGCCAAACGTCGGCCCCTATTCGTCGGCCTACCGATGGTAGTTCAGTGTTCCCAGGCTCCGCATGTCGCTTTTAGTAGGCAGGGGCGACGTAGTCTATGAGATGCGCTCACTTAATGGAGAAGCATAGGGGGTATGGGAGTACCTTGAATATGAATAACGCTCACTCACCACCTGAGTTTTCCTAACGTAAGGTGTACGAGCAGGCGAGGGGTAATGCTCGTTTTTAGCAGATCTTAGCATAGAGAAGTAGCTGTCGTCGCCGTCGTCTCTGCTGCCTAAATCGCTGTTATAGATATAGTCGCAATGGCACCAGTATCTATAGAGAAGCATGTATAGTTGAATGGTCGTGCCAGCGGTAGCGGTACTAGCAGCGATGGCATTATTCTATGAGGAAATCTGTGAACCTCTCTAGTGAATCCGAATAGGCGAGAAGGTCCGTACCAGATAGTAATAGCCTTGTCTTTCGTCTTTCTTTATAGCGAAGAGGAGTTGCGGTGACACGAAACCAAAGTAAGCCAAATCGAATCAACGTATTCGACGTAGTTCCGAATCCGCGGACCGTTTGGAGGTGAGAGGCAACCGACGTGCGGTGATTCACAGGGCATTGAAACAGACAGGTTCCCATACAGCAGCAGTGTGCGGGGAGAGAGAGCAGTTGCAGTGGTAACGGCGCTGCTAGTGCCACCACTTAATGGCCGTACTGACCTAACAAAAGCTTCCCTTTCACCCATCGTTTCTAGCCTTCACCGAAAAGCAGCGAGCGCCAAAGTGAAAGCAAGCGCAACGGAACCCCTGGCCCCCGCTCGCGGTTATGCCGAGAAAGAAACATTTAGCGTTTTCGTGATAAACACCCTGCCACTCTTCGCGGCTTAACAATAGCTAGCCATCATCATCTAAAAAGATTGGCAAAGCAAAGGCATGAGACCGCGTGAGATCGACAAATCTCACTAACCTACTAGTTAGCGTCCGTAGGCAATTTGAGCTGCCACGGTGGCCCGAGGCCTCCAAGTGACGCGTTTGCGAACCCTTCAGTGGACGGTCGATCGAAGAGTTTTAGGGCGATGATCTGTGACCTGCTATAAAAGGTGGCATCATACAGTGTTGAGCTCGGCATAGATGGCGTCTATTTGATTTCCGGTTCTGAACCATATCTCCATGAGCTGAAGAGCTGAGTGAGTTCAATTTGCAACGTAACATAAGAATAAATTAGAAAAAACAGCCACGTCATTTTACCTATCTTTTACATAAACTTTTCCAAATATCAAACCTAGCTACTCAGGCTTGCTCGTCCATAAGCCTTCTATTTAACAGACTCATGGGAGATATTAATAAATTCGTGATAGGAAATACAATGATACAATATTGGGCCTCTTTTAGCCGGGAGTTTATGAAATGGTTACAAAATAATGGCACAAAATGGACTTTCCATATACTAATCTTACCATCCGCCATGAAAGTAAATTGTTCTCCTTCTAGAACACTGATAGACATACCATTATTTTTCTTCATTTAAAATGAATTCCTATCAGATTTCATGTAACTGGTATTAGAAGGTAATCCTCAACTTCTTTTAAGATATTTATGTTTTTATAATAAGAACCTATTTGAGGGCAATACAGCCGTTTAAGAACAATCAGGGCATTACAAAAATTCTAGTAAACCCTAGGGTTTTGCAAGATGAATGTTCACAAGATAAGATTATATAGTCATAAGGCTGCTTTCGAACATCCAGCAACGTAGGCTCCGAACTCGAGATCAATGTTCAAAGTGTTTTTATATGCAGATTCACATGGCTATCCAAAGGATAAACAGAACGTATTTTATTGTAGATAATATCATTTTGCTGCTTCTCGCCTACAATGTATCTACGACGATTGCCTTCTGTATTATCTGAGTCCCATCAGGGACAATGTATTGTGATTTGGACTAGCCTAAAAGTATCGCATATCTTGTCATATTGCCTTCTGCCAGTGAATCGTTCGTCACCAGTCATTTGTGCATCAAAAAAGCCTTACAACCTGCGATGTAATATGAAGAATTCTGCAAAAAAAAAATAAATAAATAAATAAATAAATTGGTATCGAAATCTATTCGCGAAGGTTGCGTCATTTTGAACGTAACTATGTTTCGACGCTGACCTTATTTCGCAGTGTCCGCAATAACCGTTACATAGGGAAAATGCATGCCTAGGCATATTGCATCGTGCTTGAGAATTTCATTACTGTGGTATATCCGACCTTTCTGTAGGCGGTATCTTCCACTGGCCGTATACGCAAGAGTCTGCTTCAGTCGGGGTGACCAGACCGGTTCTTCAACGGCATACCGACCGAACGGATTTACCAGGATAAGGCTATAACTCCAGCTTCCTAAGCGACGTAAAGAAGCACAACGGCTATGAAATAGAGAAGCACAGTGATTCCTTTGCATTGAGAAAATACCCACTGGTTTATTTGCGGACCTTTTCGATCTGGTAAGTAAATGTTGCTGTACAATCGCCAAAGGACACGTATTTACTGATTCGCAATAATAAAGTAAGATGAGAAATAAGATGTAAGTTGGACACATAAATTTTACATATATGTAGAACATAAGTTAGAAGAAATGCGGTCTATTCAAAAACTAGGGAACCTAGTACATGTTGTTGTTATTATTATTAGAAAACGCGTAAGTGCCAGCCAACCGTACACAAAGTGCGAAAGTTAAAATGGTTTCGTTCTACACGCACTGAAGAGATTTCATTGACCGAAATTACCAAAATAAAAACCCGTTAGATAATACTGCTTTTCAAAGTTCAACACAACTTAATGCCCCTCTATAATACACACTATTGTTGAGGATTTCATGTTTCTTCCAATTGGTAAAGCGCTATTTTAGATAGTTTCGCTGCCCTCTTGGGTCTAATTTTCTAATTTTTCTTGGGTCTAAACGCTAATTTTTCCTCGTTCTCACTGTAAGTGACCTAACCATAGCGCCGGATCGCGTTCAGGTGAGCGTTATAAAAAAAGGCGAGGCCCTTAGATACTGTCTGTGGGTAGCACTGCTGGCTAAAAGGTTCAGCTGAGAAGTTTAACACGTATGTATGAGCCTTACGATAACTGGTGCCAATCAAACCAGATTACAGTTACACGGTACATATAATACCTAGCACTAAGCGCCGGTCACCTTATATATTGCAGCGTTTTTCCTACCCAGTCATTTCTCATTTTCCGCAAGGGTGAGTATTCTATACCACAATTTAGGCTGAAAGGAAACTTGCAGAAGAGAATGTTTTCATGACCACTATATTCGGTTCCTAACAACTAATGATTTGGATAATTTCGAATAAATGTGCTTTAATGATAATCTGTGTGTCCAATAACCCTTATCATGAGAGATTTAGGGCGTTAGAGGCCCCCCATTGGTGTCATTGAAACTTGTATTTTCTTACAAATGAGCTGTATTTACACGTATAGTTTTTTGAACATGAGACACAACGAAATAATGTATTCCAGTTATAGTCATTTTTTCCAGTCCCATATTTATCCCCTTGAGAGATATTGATATAACGTGTATTCAGTATTGACCAGCGTGTTCCAAAAAATGCGAAGTTCGTTAACCCGATAATCTATATGCAGCAGCCTGCCTTATAACCTGCCTTATCGATTCAATGTTTGTGGGCCGCAAGTAAGCAGGTGCTTAGTTTTTTCATTTGTTTCACAGATAAACGTGCGCGCCACCAATTGGATTGAATAGGTTTCTGGAAGTTTGGGTCACTTTCAGCTTTCAGATTTGTAATACGACAGGCTAATTTCGAGGAGGTGTACAAAATGCCACTAGATTTATAGCGTCTCAACTGATGGCATTCTTACCTTTATTACGATTTTTATGCGATGCTAGTGAAGTAAACTGGGCCCAGGCTTTTCGTATAGTCATATAATAAAAGTTTGCTAAATATGGTATTATTATATGTAAGCTGCAAGCGCGTTTGTATATAAAGGGATAGTTCACGACCGCTAGCCTTTTTCATGAAGCGTTCTGAAAATTGTTGTGCTAGCCTCGTACGAGCACTTGTAGTCTCAGAACATGAAAAAATATGACTAGCGTTTTCGTGAGCATTTTATTGCTAAATAATGTAGTAGGGGCATTCGAGCCGATTCTGGGACTCCAAACCTGACCACTAAACGTAGCGGATACGTTGCGCTTCTTAAACGGGAAGTCTTTATCTACTAGGCCACTAGTCTAAGGCGAAAGAACTCCGTCTCCTGGAGTATCTTGCTTGCATTCACGTCTAGGTTTACTTCCGTTGTGGAAACGCCCCCTCGGACACTAAGGTCCCTTCAGTAGTTTATCTCAATGGTTGCAGCGGTACCTGGAAGTCATGTGCATCTAACAAACGCTGTCTCTTTTGTATTGTAGAGGCGATACGGTCCAAGCAGAGGGAGAAAGAAAAAAAGGACATTTTCCGGAGATGCCCGCCTGCTGAGCCACTTAGCTTTGAGACCGAAAGAACCTCGCCAGTTAGTCTAACGAAAGACGATGGTCAGCCCCTACCTCAGAGGAGCAGATCAACTGCACGTAGTGCTAAAGCCCCACAGATGGTGGCAGTCATCACCTAACCCTTTATGCAGTCAGACTGAAGCTGAGTGGAGGTGGAGATCGTAGTATACTACATGGAACAGAAAGCAGTTAGTACAGCCTCGATAGAAAGCCTTTCTATCCGCCCACTTCCCGCCCACTGGCCAACAAGTTAGTCAACCCAACGAGCCATACACTCGAACGTCGGCCCATCCAGCAGCCCTCTAAATGGTAGATCGGTTTTGCCACTTCCTGCCTGTAGCATCTATTGCTAAACATATGGGGAATAGGCAGTTAAAATACAAACGCAGGCTTCACTAAGTCTCTTGGGCATTTGAAGTTCGGTAAATTTAACCGAAGAGACCTTTCTTGTTATACTAATCTAGTAAATTTTACAAGACCATAACCGCCGGCGAAGGCTGCGTGATATGTTCGACCCTTCGTTTCGGATAAATCTGCCTGTATGACACAAGAGGCAATAAGTCGTCAAAATAAAAGGTATTTTCCTCAAATAACCAATTACCGCCAAGCCGCTAACAACGTTTATTCAAAATAAAACTAAATGAAAAAATAACGCTTTTAAAGCGTTTCGAAAATACTTGTACACGCAAGGTGTAAATTGAAACCTCTAATTATTGCAGTATAACATAGTTCGATTATTATATTTGCTATAATACACAAGTATAGATACATTACAAACATATAAATCAGTCGGTTCTTATACAGTTCGGGAATAAAAACAGGTTTTATGAAAGAGGTCCTGGAAAGCTCTCTTGGGTAGTATCGCGAACCCTTGCAACTTCTTTTCGATAGCCCATGTTTACTTTTAATTTTTACAATTTTGACGCCAGCCGCTCGAAGATGAACAAGGAAAAAAAAAAGTAGGACCTTGCATATTCATAAAGTATCATGACTCCGTCTGTCACGCCATCAACCTAATGTATTTTGTATGGCCATCAAGATAGCTAATTAATACTGACTGTCAATAAATTGTTTTCATAAAATGATATCAGTGTAGTACCTCTTGCTCAAGTCACATACTCGACAACATATTTCATACCCAAACCCACATATATTTATACACAAATATGCTTGAAACACTTACTCTGTATCTTGCGCATATATTTAAATAGGGAAAACTTCGCCAGAAAATTTTGCCATTTTGTTAACGGTCTATATACCTAGTTAAGATCTGCTCCTTTGCAGGAAAATAACAACAAGGACCAGACAAGAATCGTTATCACGACGGAATTTCACTGTAGAATGTAAGTAAATATGTTTTTACACTATTTCATGCTTGTTAATGGAAATTTAATTTCCTTCAGTAAACGGGCGCTTTGCTCGCAGCATCCATAGTTAACTGTCTGCAAACGACACAAGTTCGTCGCTATAAACATCAGATAATCCTCGATTGTTTGTACACGTGTTCTAAATTCAAGTAAAAACGAACATTAACCCAGATCACCTACATGCTTATGTGTGTATCTATCATATGATGATGAATTTCCAAAGCAAAGATGGCGACGTCTCCCTAGCCGAAGTTGAAGAACTGACACTGCTTTCCGGCACTCAATTTCACTTAGAAGTAGCTGAAATATCATTCACTAGATTACCACGAGCGTCTTATAACAGGCTAGAATCGAGATTCTAAGGGTTGGAAGTCCATTCCTATAGAGAATTCGGGTCTCACGACGATGCAAAGGCTCACAGACACGGTACATGCATCAGCTATTAGATGATCGGCTACAAACTGTACTTTGCGTATTGTTATGATCCGCTGCCTCTGAACAAAAAAAAAAAAACATATTCCGAGCACCGGAGATGTAATGCCGGTACTATCAGAAGGAGATTTTCAACGAATACGGTCAATACCAAAGATAAGGGTAGCTTGAACGTTTAGTTCGCAGACACAGTACAGTGCAAGCTCTGTTCATCTTGTAACTTTTTTAGATACGAGTTTTCATTGTATATGAGTTTATGTCGAACCGCGATCTTTTTTCCACCGCCCCAAGCACAGCGTGGCGTAGATCAGGAAAGATTAAGTGCTGAGGAATTTATATTCCATTGTGACTACTGACATATGTTCGGAACCGTAGCGCCTTCGATGGCCAAAGCGACATGTTTGTCTAAATTAGGGGTGTCATGCAAACGTGAGCCTAAGAGAGTGCTATGCCTAATCTAAGTTCATCTTTCTAGATCAAGGATTCATAATAACACCTAACTAATATCATAAATAATTCATAGTCAAATTAATACTAGGTTCTAATTTCGAAATTTTACAGTCAAACTGTGTATCCATATCCATGTTATCCAATAAAACCATGGTAGAATGGTACTAAATACAACCGATTCGCTCTGGCGTTCAACTTTGTACAATGACGATAATAGTAACAATGAACACTAACCATGAAGTAAAGTTTCGCATTTTTATTTATTAAATGCTGCCATAATATAAGAACCGCCTGTTTGTCAACAGACCTGGTCCCCTCAATATATCACACATTAACAGACACGCCCACAGAACGTAGAGTCGAAATATTTACCATGCAGATGTCTATACATCACTAATGTTGGTTTTGGGAGGGTGCATGTAAAATTTGATAGTGAACGACTCCCTCCATTGCTCTCATGCATGCATATATGCATACAAAACACACACAAATATGCATGCTGATGAACGCATCAATTGTTGCAAGGGGGAAAAGACATCGTGTCCTTAGAAAAAGGCAGGTCGTACATGAAGAATAATACTGTATGTTGACAGTGGCGCTGCCGTATCCGTATCTCTTTTATGATTTATTGATGTAATAGGTTAGTGAGCGGAAAGGCAGGACGGATAGGCAAGACGGGCACAATTCCTGAAAAAATGGTGCCCGACGTTGGGAAGGGGACGCGGGAAGGTATTGCGTAGCTAAACACGACATTTCTTCTAGGGCGTCTCCTATCGCGCTTCTTGTCTACCTCTTACCTTGCCGTGCGCTGTAGCTTATTGGACCTGTCGTTGATTGCCGATAAGGGCCTACCTGTAACGTACGGCCGCATGCCAATGAAACAGGCAATATATGTAATGGACTACACGACTGTTGTGTTAATATTGATTTTATTTTTACTGCGACACGCCGTTACGGTTCAACTAGAAAGCAGAAGTAAGAAAAAGGCGGGATGTATCGTTAAAAACGAACAATGGATAATTCATTCTGAATTGACTAGAAACGTTTTATCACGTGCATGCACGCGCATGCATGCTATGGCCGCAGAGTAAATGAAAAGAAATGTGTCGTGCTTTTTTCCGACTAATCCTGTTAGACGTAGCTGGAATAGAGCCAAAAGCAGCTAGAAGAATTTAAGCGTTGATAGTGAGACAACGTTTGTCGTTGACTCCGATAACAATATAATAGTGCAACTGTTTATCATATCTGCCTGGATGCAAATAGTCGATGCAACGATCGCATATGTACCGTCACGCACTACGGCCAAGATGTTTTTGTCCGTTTTCGTACCGTACTACGCGGCCCTAGATTTATAGCATTATGTGCCTACTCCAGCAATATTACAAACAACTGTTGCGCCAGATCTGTCTGCGAATGAGGCGCGGAACGTTGACACAAGTTCCGACTTTGATGTCAGAGACCCACACGTCCAAGGCACCACTGCTGCTAGATTCAAAGAGGTCGGTAAAAATCTGTCTTCATATATTTGGCGCTCTAGTCACAGTGGAGGTAACCGACGGCTGAATAGTAAATCGACGAAGTTTATCTAGAGGAGTTAACCAAGGACGGACACTGAAGATTGACCGGCCGAATCCCTTTCACACGAACCAGTACAACTGTACATGCCACTGCTGTCAACATACACGAAAAAAATAGGTAAGCTGATATGAAAGAACTATATTTGCTATTCACGGGCCGATGTATTAGCTACGATTGATGAAGTGAAGGATTAAAGCTAAAAAAAAGCCGCTTTACCACTTGTGCAGGATTTTCATCTGCGACCAACAAATCTATTTCTCTATGCCCGAGCACAGTTTACGATTCTCAGGTACGACGGACTGTGACCACCGACGTAAATGTCGGTTATGGTATCCAATAAAATCTGTCGCTTACTATTTAGAACAAACACGCTTTCTTGGACGTTTGCTTAATCAATAACCACATTTAGATGTAATTAGGCATTTAATATACCTGAATAGCAAATAAAACGAATAAATATACATAAACAATTTGAGTTATTAAGTTAGTATCAGCTTTTCTGTTCACTTAAACACCACAAACATTTTCATCCGATTCTAAGTTTTATGCATTTCTTGTTTACATAAAATGTACGCGTTCAAGTTAAACAGCGATCGAGGTGCTGGAAATATCGTCAAGTTTAGATGTTGCAAAGCAGAAGAGGGCGACGATTGTCAACACCTAGCTCTGTCAACTCCTCGTACGGAGATTTACTTGACGAAATGGTTATTTCCTAACTGTCTATTATTAATATTATGACTTCTAGAGTGAACGAGACTCTGTTGCGAGAAAACTTTTTTCTTATCGAAAAGTAGGTGCGAAGATTACAATCTTTCTGGAGGAGTCAATTGGCACACACTACTCTAAGGATAAGTTCCGGCCATAACCCGTGAAAATGCTCTCTTGTGAGAGGAGTTGGCCAGTCGCCTTTGACGACGTTCTATTTAAGCACATGTCTGACAGAAGGTTTTTTCTATTTGAATCATTCGGTTTATACGTACTAACAGACACGATTGAGCCCATCTAATTCGTAACTTTGATGGAACTGGTTGTTATTAGCCCTTTCTATGATCATTACTATTATTAAAAAATATAATATTCTAAGATGAATATAGAAAAAAAAAAAGTGCTTCAACAGACGCGGCTCTACCACAGAAATGTTTCAGGCCCAGATCTTTAGGACGAATATTGAGCAACGTAACAACACACGATGCATGAAAACTGTTATACCGTTTTTTTTTAATCTAATTACACTTGTCATATCGTGTATGTTAACTGAAAGGTTGTACGTAGTAACCGTTCGAATAGGACCATGGATAATTTTTAAAAATCTATTATAAGAAATTGAAGGATCGTTATGGTCATTTATTCGTGTCGCCATCACTTACTGAGACGACCTTTAAATCCCCAAACGTGCTTTTTGAAATCCCAAGAACTGCTAATCTTAACTAGTTAAAAACTGCAAAAATTCTAACCGCTGGGCAACTTATTCACAGCTGCTGCTGCCCAACGTTGCGTAAGTACTGGGACGACGTGAACTTACGCGCGTACCATATTTGCCTTTACGACGTATATGCTGCTCAATAAAACAACTAGCTATTATTCCGCTTTCGGAAAGAGATAAACTATTATCCGCTTAGTAAATGCCCTATTATGCATATGATGCGCTACATGTTCTGGTTAAACCCATGCTTACCTTCGTCTCGCATGGAACGCCACGTGCTAATCTCATTTAGTCTTTATGCTCCTTGTTTTGATAGTCTCCATTCGTGTGATCAGACAAGGAGGAAGGAGAACGGACCTAATTCCGTGCTTATTCCAACAAGGCCAGAAGCACTGCGAACGGTGCCTCTTATTTGGCGGTCCCCGTCTGGACCTTAAACCCAAGTATGCCCCAAACTAGAATATGATGTGCGTTAGCTCGTATTGTATATACATACAAGAAGCTGCGTTCGTTATTCGATCTCGTACGTTGAACAGTGAGCAAATGCAGACAAGAGGAATGAGATTTGGGATAACGAGCGCGCCAGAGCTAGCGGAAGGCTATAGGATGCAACGAACACCAGGCAGAGGTCTCTACTGGACTGGCTGTCATTCCTAATTGTCCATACAAAACAGCTATAATGACAAGACGATAAGTA